GTAGATTAGAAAAGGCTACTCAAAAACTCTAAATAAATCTAGAGAATTGTTAAAGACATATGTTATATTCTAAAGAAATTAAGGCTTAATAGATAGCAATTGGAAAAGATACCTTAAAAATCTTTAAATAAGTTTTTTAGAAATTGTTATAAAATATTGATTGGTTAAGTACCTTTTTTGGGACATCTAATGATGATTTAAATCCTTTAAGTACAAGCCTATAGCATTAGCTTAGAGACATAGAAATCTATGGATGATTCTGTAAAATTTGGCAGATGAGAGGATACAGGTCTGACTAAATTTTTATGGTTAAAAAAGGAAATCTAGGAAATTAAAGTTAAAACATGATTTTGAAAAGGGTTTATAAGAAGCCTCAGAAAAGAGCCAACCTGTTAGATTCACAGCTTGGCAGGTCAGCTAACATGCAAATAAGGTTTTATCAGCTTGTCAGCCTCGAAGGTTAGATTAGAAAAGTCTACTCAAAAACTCTAAATAAATCTAGAGAATTGTTAAAGACATATGTTATATTCTAAAGAAATTAAGGCTTAATAGATAGCAATTGGAAAAGATACCTTAAAAATCTTTAAATAAGTTTTTTAGAAATTGTTATAAAATATTGATTGGTTAAGTACCTTTTTTGGGACATCTAATGATGATTTAAATCCTTTAAGTACAATTCTATAAGGAGATAATGATCCAGATATACCCAAACAGCTAACTAAGAAGGTAGACAAGTTCTATAATTTGAGGAGTCGATTCAGCATCATCAGATATATTGACTATGCAAAACCATGGGAAACTTATGTACTCCCTACAAAACATAGTCTGACTTCTGGTTTTTGGCAGAAGGAACCATTACTATGGTTGTGCCTACCCGTCTTACAGCTAAATATTTTAAACCCTTAATTTAAAGCATTAGCCTACATGATACAGAAATGCCATATAGATTCTAAAAAGTATTTTAGGAGAAAACCAAGTATGATACATGTCTCCTACTCTAAGCAACATTTGATGGTTTCAGAACAATGATTTATGGGCGATTGCCTTTGCTCAATTTTCAGAAAGAATTGATAATCAATTTCTAGCTCATGGACTGTTACAATTTGCACTATACATCCTTTTGTATTTCCAAAATTGTAAAAAGCAGTCCTAAAAAAATATGCTATGTTAATTTTTACCAATGGTTCTATTGGAAGAGTTACTTACATAGGTTTTTAATAGAAAGAAATAGAGCAGACAGCTCTGGCTTCAGCTCAAATAATCAAACTACAAGCTGTTGCAATAGTCTTACAGATCCTGGTAAATAATTCATTTACTTTGTATACTGACAGTCACTATATATTTAAGGCTTATAAGGTAACAGAAACAGTCCCATACACAGGATCTAGTAATAGTCAAGTCAGAATATTATTTAAACAAATTCAAAATGTTATTCACCTAAGAGAATTATCATGTTTATGGGGCACAATGGGAACCTATTAAATAGGCCTTTCCCTGATTACTAGCCAAATGGAATGAATTATCTAATTAACAAAATTGGTTGATTTGCCTTAAATAGAAAAAGCTCGACAGGCTTCTAACTTTCTTCATCATAATAGCAAA